ATCCTTGGGACTGCGCTACTATTCGGGAGGCTGCATCGTGGATTCACGTAGACGGGAAGACAAAAGGGACCACTGATATAGCGTTTTCAAATCTGGCTAATCCGCGCATCTCAGCATGCCAGCCATCCCAGTGGAAGAAAAACGACGGACGCAGGCAATTGAACTTCAGTCCTGCAGTGTGTCCAAGTGACTGGGTAGCACATCTCCTGGCTACAAAAACTATATCTTCTACCACACTATCCACGGCATATTGCTGTGTGAGGTTGGCGCTATCACCGTCTTGGCATCCCCATAGGTCGCCTGAAGTTACTAACAATGATAAGCAATTACCGACCAGTCACAACTATCTCAGACATACTGCCAATCGAGACCATGTATCCGGTATGCTTGGGGTACTTCGACAGCTCCTATGACACATATGGCAATCGCACGGCTACATATTCAAACGGATCAACCACAGTATATACCGAAGGATATGATCTTCATCCTGCATGGCACATCACATGGCAAGAGTCCGACACCTCTACACTGTCTCCGCCGCCACCAAGTCTGTCAACGACGTTGGATACTTGCGTGCCCGGCGAAGCGATTGCTACGACAAGCACAGCATACCGACCTGATGGTAATCGTGGTCTTACTGAGTTTTTGGTTCTGATTACAGTCATTCCTTCAGTTATAGGAATCATGCTGTGCGGTTGCTGTGTGTGGTGTTGTGTGTCGAGTCGCAGAGACAAGCGGAAGAAGACTGGTGTTTACGCCGAGCCATTGCCTACGGTTAGGCGCACACAGGCTGAAGTCGAAGAAAAGTAGGTATTTTGACGATTCTTTCTGGGTTTTCGGTACACAGCAGATGTAATGTTCATTATGGCATTGGGCAAGTAGTATGATATACGGTATGGGATATCTTTGAGTGAAGCTTCCATCTGGCTTATCAGGACTGTGAACTCTATTGCTAGCAATCAAGCACCCACTTGCTCTAATGCCTTTGAACCATCTGACATGGAATACGAAGCCAATGTTTCAGCTTCTAATGATTCAGCGCTGGTATGGCAGTCAAGCGGGCCGATCTCACTGATGCCTTGTGGTGGTGGTAACGTGCTCCGTGTTCCGGGGGACTACCGGGGCGTCGATGGGATATACCCATCCCCACGGATGTCGTGGGGCCATACCCGGCCGTCGGGTCCAGGCCGATGTGGACCCAAGAATTCAGGGCCGGAGACGGTCCGCGGGGTCTGGGCCTCAGGCTTGTAGCTCCGTGAGACGAAACAAGGTTAAGGGCGATTCCGAGTAGATTATAATTGTCAAAATTCAGCCGAGAAACTTTCCGTCTAGAAGCAAATAAGGTTCGCGTGAGGTTGCAATTCTCCCATTGCCAACTTGGTTATCGGGCACCGCGATGAGGGCTACTGCAGCTTACTTCGGTAGCTTGATAGCGCTAGCTTCGTCCCGCGCATCCCATGCACAACTCGGGCGATGAAGTTGACTATCTCGGCCTGAACGCCGGTAGTCACTGTTTAGCTAGACGTAGTGGAGATTCTCGAACGAGAACTTATCAGAACGGTACATTGGTCACAACGGGGCTCATGCGGGGAAGAGCGCCGTTCCTGCGCTTTTTACCCTAGAAGAATTCTATCTCTAGCTTATATACGTGGCCATCCTTGGCTCCCGGATAGCTAATACTAAAGATTACGATTCCTGGGCGGTGACTTTTGCAGTCGTCTCGTGCGACTCATGCTGGGGCGACTGACCAGGTGGTGCTGGCCCATCTTTTTCCCCCGATCGGTCTAGCGTACGCATGGATGAGACCTCTTGATAAAGGCACAGAACCCAGTATACGCAACCCAGAACATGGTATGCAGGAATCCTGCATTCGACAACCACCCATTCGGCAGTTTTGAATTAGCCATGATCCTCGGAGATTCTCGTGATATATCGTCAGCTCGCTGCACACAATTGCGCTGAATCAGGCCGAGAAGCTACAAACTCTTTTTTGTTCATTTTACATCTCAACAGCTGTCATGTCACAGCCAATGCCTTCCTTTGAGGTTCCTGGAACGGTTCAACTCGTTGACACCCAGGGTGTTCTTGATGTGAAGCACGGAAGTGGCCAACCCAACATCGTGCTTGTTCCTCAGCCGAGCAACGACCCCAATGATCCGCTCGCGTGGACTCAGAAGCGCAAGACATTCAACATCATTTGGGTGATGATTTGGTGCTTCTTCATTGCCGCCATCGTTTCCGGTCTTTCGCCCGCCTATCTGCAAATACAAGCCGACACGGGAATATCAGTCGCCAACCTGAGTACGGGCAATGGCCTGATGTACCTCTTCCTTGGATGGGGAACACTGATCACCCAAAACTTCGCTTTGGTCTATGGCCGACGACCTAGTCTCGTTTTCTCCATTGTCTTGACGACCTTCGTCACTCTTTGGTCCGCATACACGAAGTCGAGCGCCGAGTTCTACATCAACAGAATCATTCTCGGCGTTGTCTCCTCCCCGATGGAGACCCTTATCGAGGTCATCATTGATGACCTCTTCTTCGTTCACCAAAGGGGGTTCTACATGGGAATCTACAGCTGGACGCTATGGTGCGGTGCTTTTCTCTGCCCCGTGGCTTCAGGATTTGTGGCTGAAGCCCTGGGGTGGCGATGGATTCAATACATCCTGTCCATTTTGGGTGGCGCGCTCAGCGTCTCAACGTTTCTCTTCTTTGAGGAGACGATGTTCTACCGACCGAGTGTTCACCCGGAGATCATTGGCACGGCAGGGCTCAAAGCTGACGCTGTTGACACTGAGGGAGGAGTTTTGAGTGATCGGGACGTGAACGAGACCAAAAAGACCCAGCCTGACGAGATTGGAGTCGCGACGATAAACTCTAGTATCGACGTTAACGAGCCACAGACATACAGCTCTGTTACCGATAGGCCGTTCTGGTCGAAGTTGAAGCTCTGGGGATACCAGGACTCTCGCAAGCCAAGCAACTTCAAACGAACCCTTCTGCCTTTTCATCTGCTGCGGTTTCCGACTGTCCTTTTCGCGGGTCTCCTAGTCGGCGGCATTCTGTCATGGTATAATGTTGTCGGCGGGTCCCTTGCCCTCATACTCGGCAATCCTCCGTACAACTTCGGCTCGAACGTTATCGGTCTCTTCTACCTGGCTGCTGTCATCGGGGTCTCCATTGGCTGTGCCATCTCTGGTTGGGCAAGCGATGCGTTGTCGGTGATCATGGCGCGTAGACATGGCGGCGTGATGGAACCGGAACATCGGCTCTGGCTGGGCATCGTGGCACTCATTGCCCATCCCATCGGATGCATTCTTTACGGAGTCGGGGCATCGTTAGGAATTCATTGGGTTGGCATTGCCTTTGGACTGGGAATCATCTCAGTTACGCTACCCTTAGGCACTAGTCTGGCCTTCACATACGTTCTGGATAGCTTCAAGGAAGTTGCTGGAGAAGGATTTGTATCTGTTATTATGATTCGTAATACTATGGGTAAGTCTCTCACGCTTTCGATCGGCAGCACAGAAGCTAACGTACTCTAGGCTTTGCCTTTAGCTACGCTGTCGTACCAATGATTGAGAATATTGGCCTCAGAAATGCGTTCATCCTGACGGCTGCACTTGGTGTGGCTCTGTGGGCTTTGTGTGTGGTCATGATCTTCATCGGCAAGCCGCTGAGGAGAAATGCTGCATCACAATACTGGAAGCTAGTCGAGAAGCACGGAGCTAATGCTCATTGAATACCGCAGTCTAGAGTAAATTCGTTTTTAATAACACGTAGAACATCCTCCAAAGAACTCTTTGTCCCAGCAGGTGGTAGGTAGTACGCTCTCAGTATCCCTAGCATACTCGTAGACTCTGCATCGAAGTTGGGTAGGCTTGTACCACCACTAGCATTCCAAATTGCGATTGGCCAGCGGCCTCAACAGCCGAGATAGACTCTTCACTTTTGACTTCTGTGATAGTTGTCAGATCTTTGATATGGGGTGTGGAAACTTTGGGTGACAACGCTATCGCTGTGAATACAAGGTTCATATCATCTAACTTATTTTCTCGGTTGCATGATTTGGACATTTTGTCCACGGAAGAAGGCTCAATTTACTCCGCAACCATTTGGAGACGGCACGGTCACAGGTCTGGTCAGCATTTCCTCAAGACGGCGGCCACCGCCGAGGAGGAGGGGCTATCAGAATTGGATCACTTCTATCAGGAAATTTAACGAAAATGTTGAACCCCAGCTGACGGTATCAAAAGACCCATCATACATCAAGCGCTGATAACCATGCTCCGTAGATAGAACTTGGAGAGTGACAACTTCCACTATCATGACCATTTGGTCGTATCTTTCGACGAATGTAGGTTGTTGTCAACGGGGAGGCTCTCCTATTCCGGTTGTAAGATATCCATCCGAAGCTCCACATCAAAAATGGCATGCCGATCGTCTTAATCTATCTATTTGCAGGATGAAGCTACATGCGGCTCCGATCTTGGCAACCCACTTGTGTGCATGCTTGCGCGGAGCCGGGCATATCAGTTCAATACTCACCCTCAAACACCCCGCATTATGGCGCTATACCCGGTCCAGTAACAACATGGACCACTTCCTGGACCTGGACATCATGACGGACTGACAACAGTCAAGATCGACCCGCAGTTATCCATCCCTCCACGTTCAGATAGGAGCCAAGGAAGCGGCCCGGGTGGGGAGCATTCAAATGACGCCACCAGGTTAGCAATTAGATCGACCACACTGCTGCCTACGACCTGATGGGCCCTGTCAACCCCGTATAAGTTGGCTGTGCTTCAACACGTGGTAGTCTGACATCGGTCGACGCGGTTACCGAGAGCTTGGCACCACACGCGTAGATAAGTAGGCGCAGTAGATATGACTTCAGGTAGTCTCCATCACTGGCCACGATCCGCAAACCAAGTCACCTCCGAAAGCCCACCACGAATCAATTTCTTTCAACTCTGCAACGACAATCTGAATCCTGAAACATGGCATCGGCACAGTTCTTCAACTATCCCGGTACCGAATCCAATGCGGAGCAATATCATTACTCTCAAGCTGTGAAGCTGGGCAACATTGTCCGCACATCCGGTCAAGGCGGGTGGGATGAAAACGGCGCCATCACTCCAGACCTTGAGAAGCAGATCGCCATTGCTTTCGACAACGTTCTCAAGGCCCTTAAGGCCGCCGACCCTCGGCTGACCTTCAACGACATCCATGCAATCCGCTCGTATCATCTCGACATGGATTCGAGTTTCGATGTTATGACGGCGCTTTTCAAGAAGCTCTTCCCCAATCACCGACCTATTTGGACTTGTATCCAAATTGGCAAGCTTGGGCTAGAGGGCATGCAGGTGGAGATCGAGGTTGAGGCTCTCATTCCTTCTTGAAGCTTCGAAGGACATGCTGGTTAATTGGCAAGGATAATGGTATTAAACAACATGCAATATGAAAGATCACTGAGGTACTTCCATGACTCACTAAGTGTTTATTTTGCTTTTTTACGATACATTGCAGCTGTGATGCCAGCTTTGACACAGGCTTTGGCATCACCAGCTTAACCACATGGACCATGCGCAAGGCGTCCGATAGACAGCCCATGATTGTGGTTTCTGGAAGGCGTGTGAGGTGACTTGTGTCAATTCCTGCTCTCGGTGTTCCCAAACTTTAGGTATTCCGCAACGAACCAGAAGAGTCTCTAAAAGGGTACACAGAGGATAGGAAACTATAAAGCGGGCCAATCTATATCTTGAGTAGCAATGTCATTCGTATCTACTTCATTCTGGCGCCGGCCGAAGCCGTTGCCATGTTTGCGCCCACTATCTATAACATGTAGTCCCCCCTTTGATTCAGGCCTTCAACTTCTCAAGACTGTCTTCAGCTGATCTTTACAAACGAATTTCATCTCTCTTTCAAATCTTACCAACATGTCCAAAACCTTCACGCTCCAGGATGTTGCTCAGCGGTCAACCGATCGCACTGGCCTTATTGTTGTCAGTAAGAAGGTTTACGACGTAACAGAGTATTTGACCGAGCATCCGTATGTGTTCCAGCGCTCTTTCACACCAACTTGTCATATCTAACTTTCAGCGGTGGTGGCGACGACATTTTAGTTGAGGTTCTTGGCCAGGATGCCACTGAAGCCTTTCACGAAGTTGGACACAGCGAAGCTGCTAGGGAGAAACTCGAGTCACTTCTAGTTGGGAAATTGAAAGATGAACCTCAGGTAAGCCTACTGTCAACGAAATCTGGATATTTTGCTCAACTTCTTCCTAGATGCAAGACTCCAAGGTCAAGTCTGTTGGAGCTGCCTCATCCTGGCGACTGCAGCGGAGTACGATGGACTTGGCTATTGTATTCCTCCTACTGTCAGTCTCGGCAGCCTTCTTCCGATTCAAAACGGCGCCAGCCAATGATTCTTGATGTAGGATATGCCCAAGCTAGAGGTCAATCAACCTTATCATGTCCGCTCATCCATGTGCGCCATGACTGTGCCATGTTCGACGCCCCACTAAAATGGTCCAAATTGTTACCCAATTCGGAAAGCTGAGGTTGGAGCTCAAGCCGCACGCCCTGCATCAACCCCGCACCAGCCGACCCCTCCGCCGGAGCTCAAGAACCAGGTCTCCAGGATGTTAGAGCTACCCTGGGCATGTCTTGCGGAATGCGGGGGAGCTCTGTAGGCTGTTTTGGGGAGGCCTTTTGGTAGCTCGTCTCAAATTGCCCATCTTTTTTCTACAACAGGAGAATAGTTTGCCATGTAGCGTAGGGCATGCGGGTCTGTGATAACGACTGGCTCGATGGTCAACTATGTTGCCCAAATGGGTTCAATGACAAATAAGTATTCGATTTGTGAGCAATTGATTGTCACTGTGTCTGAGAACGCTCGATATGGCGGGGTCTTCGGGGTGTCTTAAGATGCGCAAGCTGCTCTGCGGGCTTTCTGCGCGTCTTCCTCCCACGTTTTATTTTCGGCACTGCCGTCACTGATACCGGATCACCTCGTATACCACATCTTCATTTCCAAACTCTTCAACATGTCGGCACCTACAATAGATCTCACTGCGCCAAACGGCACGAAGATCAACCTGCCCACTGGTCTTTTCATCAACAATGAGTTTGTGAAGGCCTCGTCTGGCTTTAAAATCACTGCCATCAACCCGAGGTACGTTCATTTTGACGAACCAGGTCTCCATATCGATGATGCCGTCAGCTAAACGAATCATGCAGCGATGAGTCCGAAATCGTCTCTGTCGAAGCCGCATCCCCAGAAGACGTCGACAAGGCCGTAAAGGCTGCACGTGCCGCCCTCTATGGTCCCGGCTGGGGCGACATCTCCAACACCGAGCGAGGCCAACTGATCTTCAAGCTGGCAGATCTTGTTGAAGAACACCAAGAAACCATTGCGACTCTGGAGACTTGGAATGGCGGAAAGCCCTTCAGCGTGGCTGTCGGTGAGGACCTCGCTGAGACGATCGCCACCTTGAGATACTACGCTGGATGGGCCGACAAGATCCACGGCGAGACAATCCCAACAACACCACAGAAGTTCGCTTATACACTCAAGCAGCCAATTGGTGTTTGCGGTCAAATCATTCCCTGGAACTACCCAGTGATGATGGCGGCGTAAGTTGAAATCCTCAAAGCTCTCCGGAATTACCTTGCTCACTAGGATTTTGCAGTTGGAAGCTCGGCCCTGCTTTGGCTTGTGGTAATACTGTGGTTCTCAAGCCTGCCGAGCAGACTCCTCTTTCTATTCTTTACTTCGCTACCCTGATCGAAAAGGCCGGGTTCCCGCCTGGTGTTATCAACATTGTGAACGGATTCGGAAGAGAGGCCGGAAACGCCCTCGTCTCCCACGAGGACGTCGATAAGATCGCCTTCACAGGTTCCACTGCAACTGGTCGTCAGATTATGAAGGGGGCTAGCGTCAACCTCAAGAACATCACCTTAGAGACCGGTGGCAAGTCACCCCTTGTGGTCTTCAAGGACGCGGACCTCGACCAAGCCGCCAAGTGGGGACATGTCGGCATCATGAGCAATCAAGGCCAGATTTGCACTTCGACGTCCAGAATTCTTGTTCAACAGGAGGTTTATGAGGAGTATGTCGCACGATTCAAGCAGATCTGTCTCGAGAACAAGGTTGGCGACCCCTTCAAGGACGACACTTTCCAAGGTCCTCAGATTACCAAGGCCCAGTACGACAAGGTCTTGGGATATATCCAGTCGGGTAAGGATGAAGGTGCCAAGCTAGTTACGGGCGGTGTTCCCCACAAGAATGTTGGTGATGGTAAGGGCTTTTTCATTGAGCCTACTGTTTTCATTGATGTGAAAAAGGATATGAGAATCTTCCAAGAGGAGGTCTTCGGACCTTTCGTTGCCATCACGCCCTTCAAGACGGAAGAAGAAGCCATTTTGCTGGCTAACAACACGTCTTACGGTCTTGGTGCGGCGTTGTTCACCCGCGACATTGAGCGCGGCCATCGGGTAGCAGCTCGCCTGGAGTCCGGCATGGTGTGGATCAACAGCTCGAATGACTCTGACATTCGCGTTCCTTTTGGTGGTGTCAAGCAAAGTGGTGTCGGTCGCGAGTTGGGGGAGGCAGGCCTCGCAGCCTACACACAAACGAAGGCTGTGCACTTGAATATGGGAACGGTTCTGTAGAGTAGCGACATTTGGGTATATTTTAGTGTGTATGGACGAACATAATACCATTTCATAGTACAATCGCATCAACTCCAAGTTCCGAAAACATTTCAAACCACGAAACCTCCTCCCGATCAGCCTTCCAAATCCCAGTGAGAACATCAGACACAGAATGAAACGAAGCGAATCGTATCTCATCACGGATGACCTGAACCAAACCCAACACCGCCTTTCGATGCCTTGGTGAGGACACATGGGCACCAGCCACCAGAAGTGGGAAGATGACACAATTGAGCACCTTGGACGGTTGCTTGATGTCTAGAATGCACTCCAAACACGGAAGAACGTGCTGCTGCACAAGGGAATGAGAGACTGGTAGGCCGCATATGGCTCGGTACATGTAGATGAGTGCCGTGTGTTGAAAGACCCGAATAAGTGTGAAAGCGTCGTTGGCCACCGTCTCAGTTTCGGTATCGTTCTCTGCTGCGTCGGTGATTCTGGCATACACCGGCGATAGGGCAGTCTCGAAGTCCCTCACGGTTGACATGGACAGTTGTTCTGATCCTTTGATCAAAGCGTCTAGATACCATGCCAGGCGAGATATCTGCTGGAAGACTGATGCCAATGAAGACCTGCCGAGGATATCTCTCCCCCACCAAACAGCTCGGGTATCTATCGTTTCCCAGATCTCTGCCTTGAAGGCAGGCTGGCCTCCCTTAAGCATGACTGATGTGAGGTCCGTAGACGCAAATTCCGAAAGGAGCATATGTATCGACTCGTGGCTGGTTTCTAGGACGGTGTTGATGCCTCCCAAGCTGTCGACGATTGCCCGTACACCACCATGGTGGCTCGTGGTCGATGCGGAAGCTTGTGCGCACTCTAGATACCCGTCGTGGAAGTAGAGCAGTAGTACTGCCAGAAGCAGTGTCATCAGCGACTCCTTGTCGATCTTGGCTATCTGCGTGTCGCCCAGCTCGCCTCTCAAAGCCGCCAGGCATTCCAGCCGCTTCATGCGGAGTAGGTTACGGCTATTACGCCCGTCTTGAAGCACCCGGTGGGCGTCGGCAATGACACATGTCGCCAGAAGCACGACTCGATGTTCGAGAGCCTGCAGAATCGGCGCGGCACAGGGCTCTGGTGCGGTTGTGAACATTGGCCATAGGCGGTGATGGAAGTAGTCGAGTGCGCGTCTCTCGTCGGCGGCCAATGATGAAGCTAGTTGCACATCTCGGGTCGTGATCTGGTAGATGGCCGGGGCCTTGATGGTCGGACGGGTGCACCACTTCAGTCTCCGGACGCTGAAATCGCAATCAGCGCCAATCTTGGCGCATCGAACGCAAGTCGGCTTGGTGAGATCGCACTTGATGCGTCTTTTCTTGCAGGGCCAGCAGGAGCCTTCGACGACTCTGACGCGGTTGGTGACCATGATGCGATGGCTTGATCGAATTGGGAGTCGGATCTCCTTATGTTCAGATGACAGATGGAGAGCTGAATTGAAGAATCATGCAGAAAGAGGGTCCGATAAGGAACACAGAGATCTGACGTTGGTCGTTATCAGTGTCGAGAAACCCGCTCCGCAAGCCCGCCCCTCTCACCGATAGGCGATAAAGGGTTCGGCACCTGGGGGAGATGTGCGGGGAAAGGTGTGAGGATGCGTTGGATCCGGGCCGGGGTGTCTGGCCGTGAATTTGTATGCCCGCAGGATTTGGTCCATCTTCTTTCCATAATGGGTCTAGTTGGTGTGAATTGACATTTTCTAGTCGCGACTCCGCACGTTCTACGGAGTCTGAATAACAAGTCGAGGCTTAGTTTAGGGTCTACCCCTGCATGGAGTTGCGACAGCTAGGCACAACTACACAATAAAACTGTCGTGAAGTCCGTCTAGCGAAAGCGACTGGCGTTCATTGACTTTGCCACAGTCCAGTGAAACAAAGCTCTGATCATCAGGGCAGAGAGAAAAGTCATGGGCACCAACACCAACATCACGGACATACCAATAGCCTTTCTACCCGCGATCACGACGAACGCCGCTGTTTTTGTCGCTGCAGCGCTGATTGCGACTCTGTTCATCAGCAGCCAACTACTACAGTACAACTCAACGTCAAGAGACTCATTAGAGATCACACAGGTATCAGGCTGACCCGGAACTCGGAATTTCTTCAGTCTATGCATGCTGACGAATACTGAGTAGCTGTACTGTTACCCCGTCAAAGGTCTCAGAGGATGCACTCTGCAACAAGCTCACCTAGGAAAATATGGGTTCATAGGGGACCGAACATTTTCTCTGCAGAGAGTCCGTCGTGATGGTGATAACGATGAGAACAAGAGATACGAGACCATGTTGGCCGGGTATTACCTGCAACTTGCACTGTTCCAAGCGACAGTAGAATTCGACGGAAGAAGCGAAAATTCAAGCAGAGGCGAAGTTGTAGTAAGATGGTATGGCGGCGATACCGACTTTGGCACAGCTGCAAGAGAGGCTGGGGTCAACACCAAGGACGAGATTCGATTTCCTCTCACGCCCTCCACCCAAGGCTGTGATGAGTATAGCATCAGCTTGCATGCCAGCGACGCGAAAGCATACGATATGGGCGATGAGTTGTCATCCTGGTTCTCGGAACGGCTTGGCTTTGAAACCAGGTTGGCCTATATTGGCAACGGATCACGACCAGTCCTCGGCTCAATGGCACCTCACAGCAAAGGCGGACTGAAAAGGGCTCGGCTCCTGCAACGTATCCAGTCACTTGTACCATTCCTTTCTCTCCCAGAAGAGCGATTGGTCTTCAGTGATCTGGCTCATTATCTTGTGGTTACCGAAGAGTCCAACGACCAGGTCACATCTCGATTAGACGGGGACTATCGAATGGACATCACCAAGTTTCGACCAAACATCGTCGTGAAAGGTGCATCGGGCCCTTTCGTGGAAGACTTCTGGGGCGAATTGACGTTCGGCGGAGGAGTTCAAATGCCGCTGACAGCCAACTGCTACCGGTGTCAGAGTATCACAGTAGACTTTGCTACTGGGAAGACGGCAACCGATGATCGTGGTATGGCTTGGAAGAAGTTGAACAAGGACCGACGAGTTGATAAGGGCGCCAAGTATAGTCCGGTATTCGGAAGATATGGGTACTGTTTCGGTTCTTCAGTTGGCAAGAGTGTGAAAGTCGGAGAAAGTGTCAAGGTTACTCATGTCAACGCTGCGAGAACCACATTTGGTATGTTTAGGCACGGAGTGAGGTTGAAGTTGCGCTAATGACTGCTTTTTAGATTGGCCGCACCTAACCACCTTCGGTCTCAACCAGACGAAAAAGTAGATTTCGCAAGATCGGTTACAAAAAGAAATATCAAGACTACTGGAGCCAGGCTACTGATAAGCCGTTATTGATCACTAGTATTTTTGAAGAAAAGATCTCGACTGAAAAGCTTTGTTTGAGTTGTAATAGCTAGTATATCATGTCGTCCGGGGCGTCACATGACTGACCTTCAAGCCGATAGAAGTCACGAATCGGAAAGATGCCGACCGATGGGAAAGTCAGAGTTCCCAACAATGCCACTCTCCAAAATCCCGTTTCATGGTAGTCTGTGAGTCTTGCGAGCCTCGGACGTACCTGATGCCCGAGCCGAAACTCAAACATTACCTAGCGGGAACTCAGAAGTGATCGAAGCGCAATCATCATCTGAAGTTTGTTGCTATTTGTAATCCCCATTAACGCTCTCATCGGGACCAGTACATAATCAAGGTCGTTGCCATTCTGGGCGCAATTGGAGAAGTAAGCATCCCATCTTTCTCTGTTATCTCGAAATCATGGATCTCAATCTCATTATGTCGGAATCGACCACCACATCCCAACCGTGGTCTCTGGCCGGGAAAACAGCGATTATCACAGGAGGTTCGCGAGGAATAGGACGAGGGATCGCGATACACTTTGCGCGAAAGGGCATTGCCAATATTGCCATCACTTATGTCTCGAATCAGGCAGCCGCGGAGGAGACCCTGAAAGCCTGTCGCGAGCTCGGCGCTCAGCGGACGTGTATGATCCAAGCCAACATGGTCGACCATGATGTCGGTCGGCGAGTTATCAATGAAGCCCTTTCTGGATTGGAGGCGAAGACCATCGACATCCTGGTCAATAACGCAATCTTGGGAAACGCCGATAGACCTAAAGCGGTGACCGAGACGACACCCGAAGACTTCGCTGAGATGATGCACGCCAACGTGTTTACCCCTGTCAGCTTGACCGTCGCGTTCATGCCCCACGCTCCAGCGTATGGCGGACGAGTCATCAACATCTCTAGTATCGCTGGCAAGCAAGGAAATAGGGACCCAATCATGACCTACGGCGCAAGCAAGGCTGCCCTGGAGAGCTTTACGAGGTCCTTTGCAGAGCAGTATTCCGCGCAAAAGGGCATGACGTTCAATAGCGTCAGCGTTGGCCCGACGGCGACTGACGCCTTCGAGAATGCTAAGAAGACCTTCCCTGCAGATTTTCTCGATCAACAGGTCAAAGACATCACAGCTGCAGCTAGGATTGGCGAGCCGGAGGATATCGCGTACATTGTTGGCTTTTTGGCGAGTGAGGAGGGTCGCTGGGTGAATGGTGCTGCTGTGAGTGCGAATGGTGGTCACAAGAGTGTGCTGGCAGCTTTCGGCTAGAGAAAAAGCGAGGAAACCTGTGCGACAAGAGACGATGAATACAGATATCAAAATTTCTTTCTTATCGATCGCTTGGCACGGGATCACATTTCCTTGTGGTCGGAGGCTAGAAAACGTTTTGCATTGCAAGTGTTTCTTGTTCCATCGTGTGCGACAATAAGCCAGCCAGCCATCCGCCATCGAGAGAACTCCGCCAATTTAACAGGAGGGCTGATGAACACCTCTCAGGGGGCATGCCGCCGGGATGCGACCTTCTGGGGACCTAATTTAGTTTGCTCCACTGGACCATCTGCACAATGGCGACATCCGGGATCCTCTCCGGCCGACATCCGAGGCGCAGGATATGTCATCTCATGTCCGGAATCTCCTTGCCAGCATCACTACGTGGAATGATGTATGTCTTCCTCGTACTCAAGGCTTATATGTAATTCAAACGGTTTGTGAAGGACCTCAGTCTGGTGCACAATGGGTGCTGAACGGAATGATTCTGCCATGGAGGCAACCCCGCGGAAGCTGGTCAACATCGAACATGTCCTGGAGAACGCCACTCTTGCCGAAAAGATCTCGCTGCTAGCAGGTAGGTCTTCCCCTGCAATCTAGGGACATCAATTGACAGACTCGTAGGTTCCGACTTTTGGCACTCCACACCTCTTTCACAGTACAACGTCCCGGCTGTCAAATGCACCGATGGGCCCAACGGCGTCCGGGGCTCCAGGTTCTTCAACCCCGTGCCGGCCCTGTGCATACCCTGCGGAAGCGGCTTAGGAGCAACCTGGAATCCTGAACTGATTGAACAGGCCGGCAAACTATTGTCCAAAGAATGTGAAGCCAAAGGAGCTCACGTCTGGCTTGGCCCAACAGTAAACATCATCCGGTCGCCACTGAATGGCCGCGGCTTTGAATCCTTCTCAGAAGACCCGCATCTCAGCGGAATTCTTGCGGGTTCCATTATCAAAGGCGTTCAATCACAAGGAACCCTCGCCGCTCTCAAGCACTTCGTGGCGAATGATCAAGAAACGGAAAAGATGTCGGTCGATGTTTGCATATCTGACAGAGCTCTACGTGAGATCTATCTCATGCCCTTCCAAATCGCACTGCGAGATAGCAATCCAAGAGTTGTCATGTCGTCCTATAACAAAGTTCAGGGATTGCACGTCTCAGAAAGTTCGAAGATCCTACAAGACATCTTGAGGAAAGAGTGGAGATTTGACGGGCTTATCATGAGCGATTGGTACTAACCGCCTATGTCCTTTCGTATGCACTGGCTGATCTTTTTAGGTACGGTACTTACTCTTGCGAAGCCGCCTTGAATGCCGGTGTCGACATTGAAATGCCTGGACCTAGCAGATATCGCCAGAAGGAGGCCCTTTCTGCGGTTTTCTCGGGCAAGGTTGCGCAACATACTATCGATGAACGCGCCAGAAAGGTCTTGGAGTTCGTCAACGATGCGGCTTTGGCAAGAGTTGGAAAGGAAGAGACCACTCGGGATGTGCCTGAGGATCGAAATCTCAATCGACGCCTAGCTGGCGAAAGCATTGTGTTGTTGAAGAATGAGGAGAACATCTTGCCGCTGACAGCAGAACAATGCGATGAAGTGGCTGTGATTGGACCCAATGCAGAGATCCCGGCTGCATGTGGTGGTGGAAGTGCTAGTCTGCGGCCCTACTATACCAGCTCTGTCCTGCAGGGTATCCGAGGGTCACTACCACCAAACGCGAAGGTCCATCATGAACCTGGCGTCTATGGACACATCTTACTGCCTCCCTTCACTGCAGAACATGTCTTTAACGACGCAGGTCTCCCAGGGGTTACTATCGAGATGTTTAATGAACCGCATAACACGGCTAGCCGGAAGCCATTCGATCACGTCACAATACCCGACACAACGTATCAACTCATGGACTACAGACATCCTGACAAGGCGGAAACGTTCTTCATGTCCATGCGAGCGCATTTCACTCCCGAACACACCGGACCGTATGAATTCGGTCTCGCATCATACGGAGAAAGCAATTTGTACATCAACGACGAACTTGTCATCGACAATTCAACTGAACAGACACCAGGAGGGATGTTCTTTGGTAAAGGATCTGCAGAAAGGCGAGCTGTCTACGAGATGACAGCCGGGGAGCGCTATGTCCTGCGGGTGGAGGCGGGAAGTGCCTCGACATCAAAGGTAACTGGTGGCTCGTTGCTAGCGATTCCAGGTGGGGCTTGCAGACTTGGTGGGTGTCGGAAAATCGATCGTAAAGAAGGCATCCGGAGAGCAGTCGAGCTGGCTAAGAGATGCAAATACACTGTGGTTGTAGCTGGTCTCAACGTGAGTTAGATCTGAAGTTCGACAAACCAAGCTCACACACGCGCAGGCCGATCTAGAAAAGGAAGGTAAGGACAGAAGAAACATGGACTTGCCTCCTCATGTCGACAAGCTCATTTCTGCTGTCTTGAAAACCCAGCCAGACGCCATCATCGTCACACAAGCAGGCAACCCCATCCGGATGCCCTGGAGGCACTCGGCGAAGTCAATGATTCACAGCTGGTATGGCGGCAACGAAGCCGGGAATGCTGTCGCAGATGTCCTCTTCGGGCGCATCAACCCGAGCGGGAAGCTACCTATGACATTCCCTGACCGTTTGGAAGACAACCCTGCCTTCCTTAGCTTTGGCAGTGACAACGGGAAAGTGCATTACTCCGAGGGCGTGTTCGTCGGATATCGATGGTATGAGACGCGTCGTATCATGCCTGCATTCCCTTTCGGGTGAGTTGGTACCTCGTATCCGGTTAAAAGTTGAGCTGACAGAAACTTCATAAAGCCACGGACTGAGCTACACAACTTTCGACATTTCAGGGATTCAAGTCAGCCCATCCCATGTCCAATTCAGCATACAAAACACCGGCAAGAGGGCGGGCGCTGAGGTTATTCAAATGTACATCCGCTACTTCGCCGTCTCTCAAGATTCAAAATTCGCCCGGCCGCGACAAGAGCTCAAGGGCTTTAAGAAAATCTATCTTGAGCCGGGTGAGCGGAAACTTGCAACGATTCCCATCGACAAATACAGTACGGCCGTCTGGGATGAGAAGAGGAACAGCTGGTGTTGTGAGAAAGGGGACTACCTTGTTAATGTGGTGTCCGCGACTGAAGGATTGATGGGTTCCTTCAAGATTGAGAAGAGCATTTTCTGGAACGGTCTCTGATCTTCACGCAAATCATAGCAAATCGAGTTCAGACAAGAGCATAATGAGACGGGATATATAGATTTCGTGCTTGAAAAGTACTTCATGATGGCAAGACCTTCGGTATGTGACTAAAAACAGCCCTGAATCTCAGAAGCACCCAGGATCGGCCATATTCCAGTCGGTCTGGAGCGGCATGAATGAGTCCAAGAACAGGTCTGGTTGGCATTCATCATAACTTGGCTCAAATCCCAGTGTCATGGAAACGTCATACGCCGCAGTGTTGCCTCCAAATCCAGCAGGCGGGAACCCCAACGAATTCCCTGTCATATCTTGCGGCATTGCCATGTAGGACTGAGCGCCGTCGGGCTTGGAGATGTCGGGCATCCCGAAGGCATGTGTATGGGCCATATCATGCTGATCTCTCGTCTCCCGACTGTTGTCCAGGTATGGCTGCACATCATCTTCGCCATCTTGTTGAAACTTAAGCTTTCGTATTTCGTCTGTCACGCTGTATTTGGAGTACACTTCACGTGAGCCCCTGCCGGTACTATCCGGCACAGAAGCAGCCTCGCCGATATTTTCATGGGGCTTTTCTAAGTCCCAGTCGGACCTCATTGGGCTAGAGTCACCAGAGTCCCGTTCAGCATCGTGGATCAGATCCGATATACCACCTCGAAGCAACTTAGTCGTTGGGTAAACTTCGGAGGGAGTCTCAAGGATATCCGAGCAAGCTTGAAGTTTGGCCAACAATACCGCTCTCGGTAAGCGTGAGAACTCTGGGGACCCGAGGCGGGAGATGACGCGTGCGGAATGGAAGGCGCACATCGCAAGGGACGGGTCAGTAATGAAGATGTCCTTGCCCATTTCTGTTACTGTAGCCATGATGTCCGACACAGCTAGCGCGTGCTCAAGACAGCGATCTCTGCAATAAGCGACAAATTCTGGTGATAGACTTTGCAGGTCTTCAAAAGGGAGCCCTTCCCGGAAGCCGGGGATAGTAAATCGGTACATATCGCACTGGCATTGGTGCCACCACGCATGAAACATGACAAATGATGTTCTTTGCGGAGTATATGCGCGAAGGAAGAGGTTCTTCTTGTCGAAGTGATAGTGTTGTGGTAATAAACGGCGTAAGTTATCGAGCTCATCAGCAAGACCTTTCAACTGCTCGATGCATTCTGGAAGTGGTTTTCGACGGTGTGTTATCGTGTGAGAGAGTCTTGAAACTGGTGTTAGCTAAGGTACATGTCCAGCGAAAATGGAGAGCATCACCTCTGGATACGATCTCGGATATCAAGAACCCGAATGTTGTACGCCATGAGCCCTAAATCAGACGTAGTAGATATCTCAGGGGGTGATAACGGCTCTGTCATAACGGGGATATCCAGAGTGAAAGACCTCTCATTGCATGGTAGTTGCAGGTGTATGGTCTCTTTGGAACATCCAGTAAACTCAGCTCGCCCACTGGAGTAGAGTGTGTCGAGTGTGAAAATGGCCCACATGAGACGTCTGCGACGTTCTTGCATCAGAAATCCATGGCGGCCGTCCTCATAGTTTAATCTCATCATATAGGCCAGCCGGGCTGCAAGGCATGCGGATATCAGCATCTTACTGAAATGACGGGCCATGATGTGATCCAGAGTTGTAAGCATGAGTGCTTCAATGTCCGATAGGGAGGGCTCGCTCAGTCGCGTGAAGAGTTGCATCTCTGCTTCCTGTATCCATCTAGTCGCTTGTTGCAGACGACCTTGATCTCCTGAGGCAAGATACCGTGCTGTAAGACCACACATGGCCTTCAAGAGTCGAGGGTTGTGAGTGTCCTGTGCCCAACTTTGGCAGAATGTGGCCTTATGGATAAAGCCATAGCAGGGGATAGGATAGACCAAGTCGAAAAAGGCGTCAATGTGCTGTTTGATGATCGACTTATTTACATTCAACTCACTGGGAAAAATGTCAGCGTACGCCGGGCTTCTCTGGAGGGTTTTTACGTACAAGCCGGGGGACGGTGCTTGCGACGGCGCGATCGAGGTACCTCGTGCTGATGAAGACGCTCTACGTGTACTGCCCTCATTGACAGACTCGTCAGCCGATGCTGTGACTGGCTGCCGGTGGGATTTCGGCGATGTGGACTTGGCAGTCAGATCTGGATATTGACAAGGAGTGCCTCTTTGGGAGCACCTCCTGCATGATGGCTGCGTTCCACAGCATTTTGTTTTCTTATCTCGACATTGGATGCATGCTCTGCGGACGCGCCTCTTCTCCAGCCTCAAGTGGCTCGGATCCGCCTGTCCAGCTGACCCTTCATCTTCAAGAGATGCATCGGGGACTGAGAAAGAGCAGTGAAATTTGAGTCTGCGACAGTTTTCGCATCCCCCAGGTGAGCCGTCACATCGGACCTGATCGGATGCGGGTTAGGAACGGTGATCCTCTTCCGAAGCGGAGCACCTCCGATCCGAGGCCGAAAAAAAAAACTTACCTTTCGGTTCCGGCACTGGAAACAAATCTGCAGGCCCTTTCGGGGTCGCCCGGACGCTCGATATGGAGCGGCCGCCTCCATGCTTTTCTTACCCGCAGCTTCTGCCAAAAATATATGTGAAAGATGCATGAGATCGGGTGATGGGGTTGGGAAGTCGGGGGGGGAATGAGTTCGCGCTCTGTTCCGCCCGAGTTCCGTGATGTTGTTTGCTGCTTTGCCTCCCCCCGAGTTCCGGCCCCCGGAGCTACCCTAGTTCAACGCCAAAAACCCAGCCGGACGGTCACCCGCCAGAAGATTTTCGTTCTGGGCTCAGCTCCTCCACAATTTCCCTCCAGGAAATGTCTCCCCAGTGCCTAGCGCCTTGAATGGCTTCCTCCCCAGTGGGTTTCCCCAAGTTCCATGCCATGTGTTGGTTTGCCATCAGTCCGCAGGTCGAACGAGTTTTATTGTTTGCTAGTGGAGGCCAAACCTCTGGATCCTTGAGCTCAACCCCACCTTGCAAGGAAGAGAGGCCTAGCTTAATACCAACCAACAAGGCACACGGTTCAGCGCCGCGAACGCGTTCAAGTACTTAAAGATCCGCGATGCATTATCTCCTTCCCCCAGTCTACTCTGTCGGCCGCGGCGTGGATCCCCTCAATCTGATCCAAGAGTTCCTCCATCATGGCGCCAAATAGGATTCTCAAGCACTTCAATCGGACTCTCGCGGTCGCAGTCACCGTAGTCGCCATCTCGACCTTCAACTATGGCTTCGACAACGCGGGCTACTCCACGACGCAGGCAATGGACGCCTTCCAGAAGCAGTTTGGCGACCAGGATCCGACAACCGGAAAGTGGAAGATTCCTCCTACTTGGTTATCGTTGTTCAACAGTCTCAACTACATCGGGTTTGCCGCTGGCGTCATCATCGGCAGTCTCGTCAGTGCCCGTTGGGGTCGTCGCTGGTGCATGTTTGGCATGAGTGCCTGGGCAGTAATTCCGGCAACGATCGCTTTGACTTCATCCACCAGAGAGCAAATAATGGCCGCACGTATTCTCAACTGTAAGGCAGCGTTTGAATCTTGATTAAGCGTGACTCTAACATCTCCAAGACATCTACGTTGGGATGGAGTTGGCAGTGGTGCCAGTTTACCAATCAGAAATCGTGCCATCCGAGATTCGAGGATTCGCTGTTGGGTCCTACCAGTTTAGTCTTATGGTGAGAGATAGCCGCTGTTAGCGAGAATTTACTCGGACTAACTGATATTACTAGTTCGGGACTTTGATCGTCAACTCAGTCTGCAGAGGCACCAGCACACTGGAAGGAAACCCGTCTTGGAGGATCCCAATGGGACTCTTCTACGTGATTCCAGTCATAGTGATGTGCCTCATCTTTTTCATCCCTGAGGTAATTCCCAGATCTTCAACTCTAGGTTGTACAAAGACTAACCTTTTGGAAAAGTCGCCGCGATGGCTCTTGACCCAGGACAGAGTTGAAGAAGCCCACGCATCGCTCAAGAAACTCCGAGTCGGTACGATCACGGACGTCGAAATCGACGAACAGTTTGCTGCTTTACAGTACGCTCTGAAACAGGAGGTCGAACAAGGGAAATACTGGGAGTTGTTCAAAGGCGTCAACTTGAAGAGGACTGCCGTGGTCATGGTTATGAACTTCTTCCAACAAGCTACTGGTCAGGCGTTCGCATCGACCTATGGAGCAATCTTCATCAAGGATATCGGAACCGTCAATCCTTTCACCATGACCATTGTCAACGCAATTGTCAATCTGGTCATGGTGTTCATTGGTCTTTACCTAACTGATCGCGTAGGAAGACGGTATGTGTCGTCCCTTTCCTCCTTGAAATATGGTGGACAAACGTTGACGAGCATAATTATAGGCCTCTCCTTCTCATCGGCGCTGTCTTGCAGTTTGCAGCCATCGTGACCATGGGCTCCCTCGGCACAGTTTCGGATCCATCATTTGCCGTCAAGACAGGCATTGTGGCGATGCTGACCGTCTTCGCGGCGTCCTATGTCTTGGCATGGGCACCCCTCAACTATGTCGTGTCGACCGAGATCCCTGCCCTGCGCCTCCGCGACGCCTCCCAGAGAACAGCCTCGATGGTCAATGTCTTGGCCAACTTCCTCGTCAACTTCAGCATTCCCCACCTACTTTACACTCCAGGCGCCGGACTTGGTTCCAAGGTCGGATTCATCTTCGCAGGCATCCTTGTTCTTGCGTTTGTCTTTACATGGTTCTGCATCCCGGAGTGCAAGGGCAAGTCACTCGAGCAGATTGACCGGATGTTCAACGAGGGCGTCCCGCTGCGCAAGTTTGGCAAGTACAAGCCGGAGGACATGTACCAGGCGTCTACGGAGGATGGGGAGAAAGCTGGCGTGATCGTCACGGCGCGGCACGAGGAGAAGGCGTGAAACATCTGAGCCGCTGGCGCTTCTGGATGTGACCATTTTGATCTTGGGGCTGGTTCAAGGAGGCTTGCTCGTATTCATGTTTAGAGTCGTAGGTCACTTACAGCTACTGCAACTACTCCTTGCGCCTTGATATAGCCCCTGTTTGTGCAAGGATGCAGGGTCACTATTTCCAGTTATGACGGGTGTATCGGACTCATCGTATGCCGGGTATTGCTTTTTGAGATGTCGTTGTGCAGTTGATATCACTTCATTGGACGAAAGCTTGTTCGTTGGAGAGGACGCATCAGGGAAGACCGTCAGGAGGCTGTTGGTTGCCTACGACTGTCCAGGTTTCGGTTCGCCCCTGTCCACCATCGGTCGACGTGCCATGACTGGACATGGCCTCCGTGCAGCGACCTGCCATCTGCGGCCGGGCCCGTTACTGGCGTTAAAGGTCGCTGTTTATTGAGTGCATGCGAGTCGGCGTGGCCGAGGCCAAGAAGGCTCAGCCCGTTTCGCGACCATTCCCTCGGGTCCGATTGAACTGATAAGCGTGCGGGCAAATCGCATCCGCACATGGATTTGGGCCGGGTCCCTGGCCAAATCTGCTACCAACAGCCGCAACTGGAGCAGATTGGGGAACTCCTGCATACAACCAACCGAACCTCAATTGGCGTGGGTGCCTTGTATGGTGTGTTGCAGCAACCAATAGCGCTATTCTGTCTGGTTTCAAGCCCAGGCATCTTAGATCCAGAAGTTCATGACGCGATTCAGCAAGAAAGGAGAAGTCGGACGACATTTGCATCTACTTTGGTTGGCAAGGCAGATTTGACTTCGTATGTGAATGTGTTCAAACTGCACGCTTGTCGCTAGTGTTCTCGACAAGCGACTCAAGGCGCTTATGATTTGGGTTTGACTTTGTCGCCCTCCTCTCTTGCTGCTTCATATGGACCCGATAGCTACTGTTATAAATGATGTTTCCTGCTACACACGAAATTATACCACTCAAAATATGTCAGTGTTTCTCATTCATATCAAGTCTCCCATTCATTGAACTTTTTTTGGAATTGATTTCCAATCTTCGTTACCTAGTCACCCTTCCTTTTCAATTTCATTTCATTTCTTTTTCACGACATGGCCGAAGTGGCATTTCCGTCTCCCGGGCTCTTTCAGTCAGAGCACGGGGGCACAGGACTGGAGTCGCCTACGTCGAAAGGCTATTGGGATGCCCCTAGCGACAGGTCTGATGCCGAATCTGTTGTAGATGAACACTTCGACTCAGTGGCATCCGCTCCCGGTCTCGACGATCACCAGAGTCAAGGAACTCAGGATAAGACCATATCCGAGAATCCTTTTGACAGCAAGGACAGCAAAATTCTGTTTGATGCTATAGACAGACTGCAGTCATGCGGAGTCAGCCAGGAACTTGCGATTCCTCAGGTATTCCATCGCCCATCGTCCAGTCGTCTAGATTCAAGCATCACTGATCACAGCCACCATAGCTTATCATTGCTGGGGGCCAATCAGCAGGAAAGTCATCACTACTCCAGAGTCTGACAGATATACCCTTCCCAGTAGGCAAGGGGTGCTGTACTCGCTTTGCAACGAGGATAGTCTCCCGTAGGACGGCTCCCGGTACTGTCAGCACGGTCAGGATTACCATTGCAGAGCCCGAGGTTCCTGATCGGTTCGGATATCCCGAAGACCACTCTTACAGGGACTATGTCTACATGACCGACCGCCTTGGAATCGATGATTTCCAAAAGGTCATGGACGAGGTAAGTGACGCTGCCCTAAAGAATAAATTTGACAAAGCTCATTTCGTTACAGATCTCAACCCAGTACATGGGCATTCGTCGGGGGAAAGGCAAAGGGATGAAGAACTTTGCCACTCAGGTTCTTCGCATCGAGCTTTCGGGGCCTTCCCGGTCCCATTTCAGTATTCTCGATGTACCCGGGCTCATATCAAATGCCCATGCTGTAAACAAGTACGAGATGGAAGCAGTCAACAAGATGATTGACGATTACATGAGACAGCCTGCCAACATTGTTATGTAAGTTACACTTGTCCAGTCGTAAGAGACACTCAACTAACCTTGCAAAAGCTGTGTTGCCGACGCAGTAACCGATCTAGCTCGCCAAGAGATCTTCATGAAGACTGCCGTGGTAGAGAAGAAAAGACTCGTCGGAGTTTTCACAAAGTGCGATATGCTGCACGACGCAAGTGAGGTGAACATATTCACAAACCCGTGGAACCTTGATTTCTGTTACTAACACTCTGCCTAGATTGTCGATATCGCCAATGGTACTGGCGAATACGCCGACAAGTCTATGCAGGACGGCTGGTTTGTAGTAAGAAATCGATCGGCCAAGGATGGTGATGACTTCAATCTCCAAGAAGCAGAGAGTCAGCTATTTGACCAGCCTCCTTGGAACAATATCGACCCAAGTCGTCGCGGGTCTCAGATGCTTAAGAAACACCTGGGGAATCTTCTTTGCGCCCGAATTCGCGACAACTTTCCCACCATCCGAGACACGATTTCGAGGCTTCTTTCGGAAGCCGAGGGCTCAAGGCAGAGCCTCGGAGACCCCAGACCAACCCACAATCTCCGCCAACAATACCTTAGAGACGTTCTTCAAAGGTATGGAGAGATAGCTGACAAGGCGCTGTACTACCCTGGCTTCCTCGACGATGAAATGATGAGAGTGAGAGCTATGACGCGCAGTGCCAACGAGGAGTTTACCCAGGCGATGAAAGATCGCGGCCATGCGTACAACTTTCAAGATGCAGATGTTGACCCGGTCAAGCAACTTACGGACATCATGTCGCATCACTACTCTTCTCAAAGTCAGGCATCCCCACCTACTGAGCAGCCGGTCACCCCTCCTTCGACACCTCCGAAGAAGGGACGGGAGCGACAGAGTCACAATATTCAGGAACAATCTGCAACATCTTTCACTCAGGAGGTTCGATCTCAGCTCAAAATTTGGCAAACGACTGAACTCCCTGGCCTCGTCAACACAGAAGTCATCAAAGTTTTGTTCATGAAACAATCGGAGAAGTGGGAGCACATCGCCGAGGAACACATTGATCGGGTAGGAAGACATGTTGAGTATGCAGCTGATAAGATCTTAAGGGCTGTGTGTTCTCCCAGTGACGGCTGTGAGATCATCCAGAAAGAGCTGTCGGCAGTGATCGGCCAGTTCCAGCGACAAGCGAAAGAAAAGGCTCTGTCGGAGTTGAAGGAGCATTGTCGTCGCGAAAGGCAGTCTCATCTCCAAACAACAGACATCAGATTCCAGCAAAATCTCCAGGCTCTGCGCAGCTCGCGGTTGTTGAACACCCTTGGCTCTATGCCCATACGAGAGGGAACTCTTGTGGAACCTGCGGCCCATCTTCACGCACTCTTCCGCCATATCCACCACTCAGCAGAAGATAACATGATTAATGACGTCCATGATGTCGTCAAGGTATACTACCAAGTATGTTTTCACTCCATATTCCTTGACGATTGCATGCGCTTTGGTTTCCGGCCTAACAATCACCGTAGATCTCCTTGTGCAACTTCATAGAGCATGTTACCAGTAACATTACCGAGAATTTCATCTCACATGAGACAGGACCTCTCAGAGGTCTGTCGACTAAATGGATGTTCACATTAACGGAAGAAGAGGTTCAGAAGCTGGCACGGGAAGACGAGCATATTGTTCAACAGCGCACTGAGCTCGAAGGAATCATTGAGAAGCTGAGGAATGCTGACGATATTGTGGAAACTGCTCGTAATCAGACGAGTGGTTTGGGCGATATCTAAGCGCAAAGGATTGAGAACAAACTTCTACGAAACGATTTGTAAGATTAGGTTTCCATCATAATGTACTGTCACTATCAACTCTCATAATTCTCTTCTTGTCTTTCGTAGTCATGAAAATTCGTGAAACTGAGCGCTGGACTAAGCCGTTATCTCAACCTCAATGATGCTATGCGCCGCCGAAGGCAATTTCCAAATTCTCACCACACTGAATCCAACTGATGCGAGAAGCTGCCGCCAATCCTTCTCGGATCTCTCTCTTCCTGATACCATAGCCATCATTTGAATGTCGAAAGCGGTAGCCTGAGGATTTGCAGGGCCTTCCACGTCTATGTGGTCATGTATGAGTAACCGGCTGTATCCTGGAGTCATCGCATCCTTTTGCATCTCAAGTATCTTCCGAGCCGGTTCATCAGACCAATCATGAAGTATGGAGTGCATTAGGTATGCCCGTGCACCTGATAGCTTGTCAGTCCGGGTATACCTACTAAAGCAATAACGAGACAAACCTTTGATGGGCTGCGGCTTAAAGAAATCGTAAGCCACCTTGTTCACGCCAGATGGAAGTTCCGCCTTTTCTATCACGGATCCCAAGTCCTCCAGGTACACTCGGGAAGCTTTCTCGGGGTAAAGGGCGTGGAACTTCAGGATGTCGTGGCCAGTGCTACCCCCGATGTCAACTAGCAATGGTGTGTCGGGATTTGTGTCGAGAAGCGATTCTGCGGGGAAGATATCGGTCCACGCGGGCTGTTGTGCCGCAATGCTTTGTTGTATGATGCTGAACTCTTCCTCCTCCTTGGGATGAGCTTGGTAGTATGACCAGAGGTCTCCATCCCACCCATGGGCGTATTGAAATCCCGAGTGTCTAGAGTCTTCGGGGTTCTTGTACCCGGTTGTTTCGAAGAACTTTGGCAATTTTGCGTAGATTGGCAGGATGAGATTGTAGCTGAGGGTATGGTAAGTCTAAAGCCTTTCACGCATACGGCGTTCTTCGATCATACTAGCTACTGAAGAGCCCATTGAACACAGGTGCTGTGATAGCGACGCCAAATTGCGTGGGCTTGAATGTGCCAAGCGATGGTTCTTCTAGAAGATGGTTTGCTGCCAGAAGACGGAGAAGTCGGTCTAATTATGCCAGTGAGCGCGGCAAAAGAAGTTCATGCAGGATCAAACTCACAAAGCAACGCAGGATCGCATTTGCCTCCGATAATCTCCGCCGCTTGCGCGCTCGTAAGTGGTCCGTTTCCGTGCTCGTTCCACCTCTCAAATAACTCCAGATCCTTCACCGTTCTGATAGCAGCCCCAAGAGCTGGCTATCAAAAGAGCAGTCGTTAGGCGTGCATATCATAAAACTTGGTCTGGAATTGAAGCGCCTACTTGAGTCATGTTGAGTCTCACAGCAGTGTCCCAAGGCGACTCGAGTCGGACCAACAGAGCCTGTGCTGCCAAGAGAGCTTTCATCCGACCGCCCTCGTTGCTGAAAGAAGAAGAGTTCACATGTTCTATGCTGCTGACGAAGGAATCGACAGTAATTTCATGGTCGCTGGTTTCCATGTCTCGCTCGGAAGCTCGGAAGATGTTGACAATGTTGGAAGCTCAGCTAAGGAACTTTCGGCCGTGATGTCTCGGATGCCCCAAGAAGGAAACTTCCTAAAAGAAAGTCGTGTGTGAATGAGATGCTGGAGGCTTCAGACCTTTATTGTATTCTGAACGTAGTTGCAGAGAGGTGTATATTGAAGATGGAACGTTGATCAAACAAGCCCGGGGATAAGGCTCAGTTTTGACCACGATGTGGTTGCAAGGATTAGCCCTTGGGATGAGGGTGCAGTAGTCAGACCACTGTCAGCAATATCACTTCTTGGCGTACATGAGACTCTTTGGTGACTGGCCAGCTTTCATGCGCATCAGCAACCAGAGATTGAAAACTTCGTCATCTGTCGAATTTGATTGACAGCTGTCATCTGAACTCCAGGAGCTGTCTGGCTGATTGGCCCATCATGTCACACTGACTACTTGAGACTCGGACCTCACCGACTGCCCGAGGAACGCGTCTGAGAGGACCGTTTCAATATCTCTCTGAACTCGTCGAAGCTCATGGGAGATTTCTCGTCAAAGAACAAGTCGCCCAGGAGTGGCTAGGAACCCTCTCGAGGCCACCTAGCAGCCAGAGCTAGTATATAAACAGCACGAACTTGCCACCAGCAGAGCAATTTGACACTCACAATCACTCAGCTTTATTTGAATACTTTTCACTGCCCAACTATACTGACCAAATTAGTGCATTTACCCCTCCTATTCACGATGCAACCCTTCGGAACCAAACTGTTTCTCTTCGTCCTCGTTGGTGAAGCTCTGGCTGGGCCAGTAACTCGAGGTAAGTTCAACAGCTCTGGATCTGCCTGTCAAACAAAGCCTGGCTGACTCTTGTGTGGTGTAAAGCGAGCAAGGCAGGAAAGCCTTGCACCGCGCAAATCGATGGCTTTGACAGCAAAGGAACTTGTAACGACCTGGGAGAATGCTCTGTCGATATTCCGCCGAACATCACCAGCAACGTACCTAGTGGAGAATGCAAATAATCTGAGAAAGACATACCAGATTAGTTTCGGCATACCTTTCAGCCTGAATACGAGAAATTACAAAGTGGTTCGAAACTCCCTATGTGACCCCTAGTATAATCTCGATCTCCAACGGCACCCCAATGCAGCCAGCTTGCGAAGTCCCACCAGTAACCCTGAGAAAACAAACTCGCACTCTACTACCTTCGAATACTTGTACCCGCGGTTTGTTCAGCTCAGATTTGGTTCTGCCACTGGCGCAACGCCTCCCGAATGACATCCCATGCGTGCTCTTGAGCGGCTTGTGCAACAGCCACCTCCTTCGGCGGCTTGAATTCTGTCCAGAAAAGTGGCGGATATATCCTGTGATAGTCCGTCGCCGATTTGACGACTTCCTTCAGCAACATCGCCATGGATTTGTGGTCCTTGAGCAGTTGTGTGATCGAGGGACCGCCTCGGGAAGTCTCTCTTCGAAAGTCTTTACATGGATCTTTCCTGATGTACCCAATCATCAGGGCCCCCATCGCCGTCGCAACGGCCGTAGCGTACGATGGCCAAGTAGCCAGCTCAAAGCGATCGCTAACCTTCGCGTCTTGATTGCGTGGGTCGGGAAACTTGGGCGTAACGATGCGCTCGCCCGCAACTTCGGGTTGCCCCGAATAGCCGGTGGACCGAACTCGGACGGGGCAGTGCTACCTGCCTGACTTGATGACATCCCAATCGCTACCGAGATGTCGGTTCCAGGCCACTCCTGGGGACCGGAATACGCGTTCGGCATCGATGCGAAAATGCTAATGCCAGCGGCTGTTGCGCGACTTGCCGCATGTTTGAGTTGCTCATCTGGGGGAGAGAAACCGAAGGATAAGTTAATCAAGTCGACCTTTTGCTTGATAGGGCAGTCTATCGCCCGAAATAGCCGGCTTCAAATACATTAGCCAGATTCAGACGTAACGAAAGTCGTGCACAACTCTCCCTGTTGTCTCACACTTACCTTTACCACATTGCGAGGAGCTCGACCTTTCACAAACACCGCCTCCAGCAGGAACCTTCCCATCACGGACGTTGCTATCACAGACGCGTGCTACGTACAGCTGCATTATAGGCACGAGTCGGTAAGCAGAACAAGGTGAGACACTGCAACATCAAAACCTGCCGGGCAATTGCATTCATCATGAATCTCTGAAAATTGGCAACAGTACGTAATCTCATCATTTACTGAGAGGGCAACGAACAGCAGCGGGTGCACACAGCATGCTCTCGTGAAAAACAAAGCTCAGTTAATTCAAAAAAGCAAAAGAATTGGGCCCTAACCAGGGATCGAACCTGGGACCTCTCCCAGACGGGGGTTATTAAGCCCTAAGGGAGAATCATACCGCTAGACCATCAGGGCGAAGGACATGATTGGATGTCTGACTGGTGATGTGGAGAGCCCAACTCGAGCTTCAAGTAGCGCACCAGATAGGCCCATCGTTTTTGATTACATTAAGAGAGGCGCAAAGTTGGAGAATGTTTTCCCCTCTTTTCATCAGCAGGAATAGTTGTGATATCACTCATTCAATTAAGAATGTAATTTAATCACGCGCCCTTGCGGTGAAGCAGTCCGATGCTCTTTTAACACCTGTCATCATGACGTCTCAACCTTGGGCGCACACCAATGAACCCCTGCCAGAACCTGCCATAACTATGCAATGTTCCTGAACTCATGGGCGTCTAACGCCGAGTCTTCAGCCATGAGGATCGAAGGGACCGCTCGCCGAGGAACAGAAATAACCTCTACTCAGCACTGACTGTCACTGTCGACTCGCAGCGACTGATGACTCCTCGCCAACGTCGACAAAGCAACCCAGATTGATTACAGAAGGCCCCTCTGTTACTTGCAGCAGTATCTGGCCTTTCTTTGGTCTCCTTCCCTGCTTGCTTGACTTCGGCAGAGGCTTTTGCGGCGGCCTGAGTTTTGTCTTCGATGGAGCCTGCCCACATGCATTAGTCAACCTCACCTGTCCACGACGCAAGCCCGGACACCACCTTACCTAGTTAGCAGTAGTTGTTCTTTCGGGACCAAGAAGCGTATGATACCTCGAGACGACACCCACCGCAGTGGCCATGTCACATGTCTCTTCCTTGAGGTCGGTCATCAAAGCCAGGATGACTATTTGTCCCCCGAGTCGGGCGCTTATGTTGTCCCCGATGTGCTCTGCAAGCTCGAGAATTTGGATGCTTGGAGTATACTTCCCATCTTCGCGGTCGTGGATGGCACCGAGACAGTCGTCAAGCTTGTCGTTGCAAGTGATGACGCCGGTGTCCATGTAAGCTTGGACCTGGCTGCACAAAATATCATAACGTTGAGCCAGATCCAGGCGAGGCAACGTCAGGGGTGCCAGATATGCCAATCTGACTGGCTTGCCGGAGGGGTCAGGGAGGCTGTAGACTGGCAAGTTGCCCGTTCTCGATGTGCAGATAACCACGACGTTTGGGAACGCTGCAAGAGTGTCGAAACCACTCGAGCAGGTGATTTCATGAAATTTGGTGTCGGTCTCTGGGGAGGCTGCGACTCTCCTTGTCCCGCTGTAGCTCTCGATGCTGTCAATCAGGACTATGTGTATGGTTGATCGCGAATGGATAGCCTTCGCTTCAATACTCTTGAAGTTGATGCCTGGCACGGGGGCATGCAGATGGATCGGCCTATCCCGGCGCTAAAGTTGGATGGAGATCTTCTGTGCCATAGCCATAACCAAATCCGAGTTGTCAGATGCAGTGGGACCAAGGATAAGGATAATGGATTCTGCTGGCTTCGAAGCGGGCGGGGTTGCAACATGCGTCATAGATGCTGGTAAGGTCAGCGCAGGCCAAGTTTTGGAAAGTGCTCAAGACGAGACGCACCGAAGTTCTGTACCCATTGATAAAGCTCCGATCGCAGATGGATGTCTTTGACCGAGCTAGACCATGGTCAGGATCAGCAACTACGAAAGGGATAGAGTCAATAATAATATTCCGAGCGGTAGACAGGGATGTCATACAGTTCCCAGAGACCGTCAAGATTGGAGTTTGGAAGGACGGCGATCTGCTCGTGGTCGTATGTTGCTGGCAACTCGGAGCTGAGTTTGTAGGGGTTGAATTTGATGGCAACATCCCGAGCCGAGACTTTGCGTGTTGCTGGGTCGAGGCCTTGGATGTCGACGACTCGCAAGGACTGGAATATGCCCGGAGGCACGTGCTTGTAGACTGACAATGGGTCAGTATGATTTGGGAGGCATTGGCGACTTCTACTCACGAGTGGTGTCCCTCAAATCTGTTTCAAGGGAGATGACGGCATCGTCGTTGAGCTTATCGGGGCTCAACTCGCGTTCCAGGTGTGCAAGAATCTGCTGCCAGCCCTTGTCGGTGTAGTTGTACTGTCAATTAGAGAGTGTGAGTGGCACTATTCACAGGTGGATGGCTAGGTTACGCATTCAGTGGCAGGTGAACTCACGCCATCGTTAAGTCGGGCCTCGACAAAAGCGGTTCCCTTAGGCCTGGAGACAATGACGAAGTCGTCGGCCCGGCTGCAAGTCACTTGAGCGTCGGCCATGTTGCTCGTATGCCGCGTATTGATGCGATTGAATAGCGCCCGGAAGTATCGTGAATAAGCAACAATTGTAGTAAATGCGAGGGGCAGTGAGGGGCATTGAGGGGCCGCGATGGAGCTGATTAGAAAAAGCCGGAATTTTCGTGGTCGTTGGAGAGATGTGAACCGGGGAGTTTTTGGAGGGGTCGACGTTAGTTGTGGGCCGACAAAAGCCGTAGCGCAGGGTAGGTGAGGTGCAGGGGGGCAGCAACAGTGAAAATCCTGCGCAGGCATGCACGCAGATAGGCAGGTACGATTGGCAGGTCCTGAATCCAGACCGCCGGTAATTATGGAATGGATTTGAAAAGGCAGGAAGAGGTGGTGGTGGTGGTGGTGCAGCGGCAGGGAAGGGACGGGCGGGAAGGAGTGCGCTGGGAAGGCAGTGGAGGGGCAGGGACGACCCGGGGAACGGCGGGGGAGGGGCCAGTGAAAAAATAGGCCGGAGCACCTCCCTTTCCACCTCGCAGATTTGCAGTTTGCGGCTTGCGATTGGAAGTTCCCGCAGCCAGCCAACGGCAGGTGCGCCCTGCAGCCAATCCAGACCCGTCGATAACAAAGACTTCTTTCCCCGGCCAAGGTAATGGAGATGAACTTTGCTCAACTTTTGGCTGCAGACCAGATCTCTTTGCGCCTCTTTCGGCCAGAGCTGCTGCAGTCGACATTCATTTCATCGACCGAGTTGGAAGCCGCACGAAAGCAAGAGGTTGGCCGACGAGATGACCGCCAACCTTCTCTACGGCCGGGTACCTCTAAGTCAATACCCGTCCCGGGCCGTAGCTTGGCACTCGGGCGGCCTGCAACGCTGTTTCGTCTCGGTCTCATCACTATCGCCATGTTTTATTCGGCCTGCTGCCTGCACTTCGCTGTTGTTCGCCCTGCAGTGGGATTCATGGCCTTATTCCCGGGCATCGGCGACGATTAAAGTGTGCATCTGCATCCTGCATCCTGCTGTTGACAATCAACCGATTGACGACAACCTCTATCGTTCTCGTCGCTGGGCGTGACGTCGATGTAAGGTCTGGCCCGCAAACGGCTGCAAGGAGAGGGCCTGAATGCGCCAAGTGGCTGGTGACGGTAAAATGCCCCGTCTTTGTCTGCTGCAGCCCATCCTTCCAACGTCAAGCCAGCTCTGAATCGAACCAGCCTCTCGCAAGCCAAACGCACAGGACGACGACGACGACAATGCTCGGGGGAAGCCATGCGCCGCCGGGGACCTCGAAAACATTCGGCGTCAGTGCGTCGGCTTCTGAACGGCTCTGTGGCATCAGAGCACTGAAACCTCCTAACTCTTGGGCCGAAGCAGTTGGCCGTCCCGTCTTGTTCGTCCTGTGCTTCCAAATTCCCAGATTCCCAAATTCCCAAGATGCAGGTTCGTTTTCGACGACTGCCCTGGGCACGAGTCTTTGCAGAGGCAGTGCTGCTTCACGGTGAGATCTTCGGTGTAGGCGACTAATACCGACCTCAGCAGGAGGCCCGACCGTCGACTAGAGCTAGTCATTTTGCTGCAGCCTGTCAGAGGGCTGGGCTTGGCTTCCTCGCGTGTTCGTCAGCCGGGCTTGGGTGAGAAAAGCCATGCTAGATAAGGCATGGTGTCTGGGGTCCAATGCAGCTCTGCGTCTGACGGCATGTGCCTGCCCTGGCGATGGCTTCAACGAGACGTCGCCGTGGCTTCGGACACCCCGGACAAGCAACCGCCGAATTTTCAAGGTACAACTCTGACCATACTGATTTTCAAGGCATTCCATAATGTCTGTGGGCTTTTTTTCACAGGTCATACTGGCCTTCGAGGATTTAGGGCATCGGAAGCAGCGCGCTATGAGCGCAATGTCGCTCACACGAACCGCAGCATCTCGATTTAGAGCTTCGCAGCGTTGGTGGCCCGAGTGCTGGAGCTTGCACCAATGGAGGAGGCGAGTGTCCTGGTCTTCACGTGCTTGCTGTGGCGGCGGTGTGGCCGTTGACGAAAGTTACGTAATCAGCTACTTCATCTCGGGCTGCATCATCACGTCACAGGTTCAGATGAAGTGGAGACCTTCCTTCGCGTGCCTGAAGCTCCAGCTTCGGTTTCAACCAACCACCTGCATCACCAGATTCCACCGACGACCGCTTGGCGATTCGACAGCTGCATCTACACCGCCAACACTGACGGAACATCAACCACCTTGACCGAACCCTCACTATGTACGCGAGATGGACGCGCTGATAAACAACTCGACAGACAAGTGCGGCGGGAAGGATGCCACAGAGGCTCTCCAGCCGAGCAGCCGTGCCATCATTGTCCAGTTAGCCCTCTCTCTCATCCTCGGCGTCTCGGCTTTCGTCGCATTCTGCATTCTTCGTCCGCGATGGCCGACTCTCTACGCCGCGCGCAAGCGCCGACTCGACCCCAAGATTGGCTTGCCCACGCTTCCGAATACCTTGCTCGGATGGATTCCCGGCCTGTGTCGTGTGACGGAGGAGCAGGTTCTCGCCTCCGCGGGGCTTGATGCATTTGTTGTAGGTGGACGAGCTACTTGAGAGGAACACATTCAACTAAGCTGACAATGGTAGTTCCTGTCTTTCTTCAGGATGGCCATTCGCATCCTGGCCATCATGACATTCCTCGCCCTCGTCATCCTGCTGCCGATCAACCTCCACTACAAACCAGGCGATCTCAAGCTCGACAACGCGAGTGCCGCCATGTTCGAATGGATGACCACGGGCTCTTACCGCGTCCCCATCGGCGACACGAACATTTACGACGAAGAGGGCAAGATCCCGAAGGAAGATCCAGACAGAAGCTATCTTTGGGCATGGTTAGTATTCGTTTATGTCTTTTCAGGGCTCACGCTGTACATCCTGAACAAAGAGACTTTCCGTGTGATCCATATCCGCCAAGAGTACCTCGGAACCCAGTCAACCGTCACAGACAGGACGTTCCGTCTGTCAGGAATTCCCCAGAACATGCGATCCGAGGACAAGATCAAGCACCTGATCGAGAAGCTCCAAATCGGTCGTGTTGAGAGTGTTAACCTGGTTCGCGACTGGAGGGAGATTGACTCTTTGACCGAGCAACGAGCACAAATTCTGGCGAAACTGGAGGAATCTTGGAGCGTCTTTCTTGGAAAGCAGGCTGCTCTGCCCAAATCCGTACAACGTCTGCGTGACCCAGAGGCAGAGCCTTCTGTTCTGGAGCCACGTCAGGATGAGATTGACGAGGAGGCCGGTGAAAATGGACGGCTATTGGGGCATGGCGAAATCCACCCAGAGTATGTGGAGCGGGAACGCCCAAAGATTCGCCTGTGGTACGGCTTTCTCAAGCTCCAGAGCCGCCAGACGGACGCCATCGACTACTACGAGGAGAAGCTCAGACGGCTCGACGAGAAGATCTACGAGGCCAGGCAGAAGGAATACGCGCCGAGCGATCAAGCATTCGTCACAATGGACAGTATTGCGGCCTGCCAGATGGCGATCCAAGCCCGCATCGATCCCCGACCCGGACAGTTCCTGACGAAACCCGCGCCAGCGCCTTCAGACATCATGTGGGCCAACACATACGCACCTCGAGGTGTACGAAGGCTGCGATCGTGGACCGTTACCATCTTCGTGGCCGCGCTGTCTATCCTGTGGATCGCCGTGCTGGCTGCTATTGCAGGTCTTTTGAGCGTCTGCAACTTCCAGCAATGGTTCCCTTCTGTGGTCGACTTTTTGAAGAAATTCCCGACCATCAAGGAGTTGATCGAGACGTCCTTGACGACAGTGCTCGTCTCGTTGCTCAACGTGGCCGTGCCCTACCTGTACGATTATCTGTCGTACCAGCAAGGCATGATCTCCAAAGGCGACGTCGAGTTGTCCATCATTTCGAAGAACTTCTTCTTCACGTTCGTCAACGTCTTCCTAGTCTTTGCCGTCTCAGGAACTGCGCTCAGTGTCTTTAAGATCTTCCAGGACTTTCAGGATTCATGGGGCAACACGACGAAGCTGGCACGATTGATTGGTTCCCGGATCGAGGCCCTGGGTCTGTTCTACGCCAACTTCATCATGCTTCAAGGCCTTGGCCTGTTTCCCTTTAGACTCCTGGAGGTGGGCAGCGTCTTCCTCTATCCGATCTACCGAATGGGAGCAAAGACGCCAAGAGACTTTGCCGAGATCATGCAACCGCCAGTGTTCAGCTACGGCTTCTATCTCCCGACGGCGCTGCTTGTGTTTATGCTGTGCCAAATCTACAGCACGTTGCCGTTTGGTGCTCTCATCTTGCCGATGGGAATGATTTACTTTACGTTTGGGTACTTCACGTACAAGTATCAACTTCTGTACGCCATGGACCAGCCGCAGCATGCGACGGGTGCGGCGTGGAGGACGATCTCTTATCGCATCGTGCTTGGCCTAGTCGTGGCGGAGATCATTCTGTCCAGTGTCATGGCGCTACAGACAGGTTTTGCCCAGTCGGTGTTGGTCTTGCCTCTGGTCATCTTCACGATTTGGTACAGCTTCTACTTCCGACGCCGATTCGAGCCCCTAACCCGCTTCATCTCGCTCCGAAGCATTCGAGCAGAGATCGACGCTGAGGACTCTGCCATTCTCGACGAGGACTTTGAAGGGCCGAGACCTTCGCAGGGCCTGCTTAGAAGAGGAAGCACGATTGATGAGGACAAGGAGAAGGGAATGAAGTTCATTAACCCCAGCTTGACCTCGCGGTATGTACCCGCGGCCCCATTTCTGACTCGCTCTAACGTGTCATAGTCTTGATCGACCGTGGATCTATCAGGATCCGCCTCCGGCCGACGATTCGGGAGACGAGAGCGAGAGCGCAGGGGATACGGAGAGGCCCAATGCTCCGGCGAACACGGCCTCGGCTGCGTCGGATAGTTCAATGAGCCTAGGTGATACGCACATCTGGCGTCAACAAGCCGACAGCAGCAACCGATGATGGCTTTTTGATGAGATGTGCACCAGCTGTAGATAATAGTCTCAGTCGATATGGGTTCATGACTGGAGTAATGAATGGCGGTGGATAGCGGGGACAACAGGACTATACCACATGGGAGTTTGGAGTGCCTTGCGTTTGAATGACTTATGAGGAATTAATAAGAGACCATGAAATCGAACCGTCACCAGGACTTGATCTTGTCATTTCGTACATCTGTGGCATTCTGCAGCGTTCCCACTCGAGTCAGATGTGACGATGTCATTTTACCGGGGCTTCCCCTGAAAATCCAAGGCGTGGCTGCTGCCAGCCCATGGTGACAGGCGCAGCCCAGCGCCCGTTTGGGTTAGCGAGCTGTCCAGAGCTCCAGAAGGAGAGGCATGGCGGGGTAGCTCTTGGGATCAGGCCACTGCGCCGTAGGACAAGCTTAAAAAGCGCGGCAGGTCCCCCCGCAGAACACTAGGTGTCCACGTCATTCAGCACATTTTTGGTCCCTGGACGCCGGAAAGAGCAATTGGACGTGAATCGCGCCAAGCTGGTTGAGGTATCGCAGGCAGGAACAGCCTGCAGAATGCGGAAGGCGGCCAACTTCCAGCCAAGAATGGCACCCGAAAAGAACGCGCAGGCGCGGGGGAGCTGATGTCTCGGCTGCTCCTTGTGCTGCCTCAAAATTACCTCGACCTGCTCTTCTCCCCGACGACGTCGTTTGCCATCTTCACTTCCGACCTCCATCCTCTCGTCTTCCGACAATATCCTCGAGCAAAGACAGCTAGCCTTATTCAATCATTTCGCCAAGAAGCATCACTTAGCTCAATCTTCCATCCACCGACTTCCTCAACCGCCGCCATGAAGCTCGCCGTCTTCAGCGCCAAGGCCTACGACAAGAAATACCTGTCCGCCGAGCACGAGGCCACGAAGAAGACCCTCGCCGAACACTCCCCTTCCGACTTTGAGGTTGTCTACCACGACTTCTCCCTCTCCCCCGAGACGGTCTCTCTCGTCAAGGACATCGACGCCGTCTGCGTCTTCGTCAACGATGTCCTCTCCGCCGACGTCCTCGAGGACCTCCACAAGACAGGAGTGAAGGCCGTCCTGCTTCGCTGCGCAGGCTTCAACAACGTCGACCTCAAGGCTGCCGAGAAGCTCGGAATCTTCGTCGCCAACGTTCCCTCCTACTCCCCCGAGGCCGTCGCCGAGTTCGCCGTCTCCCTCCTGCAGACGCTCAACCGCCGCACCCACCGCGCCTACAACCGCACCCGCGAGGGCAACTTCAACCTCGACGGCCTGCTCGGCAAGACGGTCCACGGCAAGACGGTCGGCATCATCGGCACCGGCCGGATCGGCGTCTCCATGGCCCGCATCATGAAGGGCTTCGGCTGCACCCTCTACGCCTTCGACCCCTACGAGTCCGACGCCTTCAAGGAGCTCGGCGAGTACCTGCCCCTCGAGGAGCTGCTGCCCAAGTGCGACTTCATCAGCCTGCACTGCCCCCTCATGGAGAAGACGAAGCACATCATCAACGAGAAGACGCTCAAGATGATGAAGCCCGGCTCCATGCTCGTCAACACCTCCCGCGGGGGCCTGATTGACACTAAGGCCGTCACCCACGCCCTCAAGAGTAAGCATCTCGGGGGCCTCGCGCTCGACGTGTACGAGGGCGAGGGCGACCTCTTCTACAACGACCACTCGGGACATATCATCGACGACGACGTGCTGACGCGCCTGATGACGTTCCCTAACGTCTTGATCTGCGGCCACCAGGGCTTCTTCACCGAGGAGGCGCTGCAGGAGATTTCCGAGTGCACGTTCCGAAACCTCGAGGACTTTTTGCGGGGACGCAAATGCGACAATTCGCTAGTCAAGGAAGAGTTTCTCCTGTCGCGCAGAGACTCCCTGCCGGTGCGCATTATCTAGGCTGCTGCTGGACGTTGTCGGAAAACTTAGGTTGATGGATACCCTACTTGTTGGCTGGTTATGGGTAGATACGGATCAAGACTTATGAATATACGATTCCCTACACTCTGTTGCTCGGTGTCTCGACGACGGTGATTTTTGATTTTGGTTTATTCAAGATTATGTCTACGGCATCGCCGTCCATGTCTGATGCGTCTATGATTCAATATGCCGGCCAGCTCCTGATACTCCTTCCCTTTTCACTCCCCAATGACGCCGAGTGAACCAACCCAAAAACAAATGCAGTCCCCTGCAGCTACACGTCTCCTCCCCAATAGCTTCGTAGCAGCCAACACCACCATTCCGACGCACGATATTACCACCACTCAACCTCTCGTCACACCAGATCTTTACGCAGGCTCAAAAGTCCTCGTGGGCTCTAGCGCGTTCGCAGGCGCCTTGACCTTCTCCACATCGCTGCTGCTCCCACTCGCAGCCGCCTCGTCCTCGTCGTCACCAGAGTAAGCGTACTTGCTGCGCTGTCTGATTCGTGCACCGTACACCCAGAAGAGGAAGGGGATCGCGCAGCACGCGAGGCCGATGAAGGCCAGCAGCGTGGAGGCCCACTGGTCGCCGAGGCGGTCGTACATCTGCTCGGTAAACAGCACGACACCCGCGCCCCAGAAGGAGCGGATGCAGGTCTTGGCGGCGAGCGCGGAGGCGGCCTGGTGCTGGTACGAGTCGACGAGGTAGTTGTTGGCGGAGTTGTAGAGGAAGATGAAGCCGAAGCCGACGGGGAAGCCGCCGAAGGCGGGGCCGGCCCAGTGCAGGTCCGCGTAGGAGGTCCAGGCGAAGATGAAGAGGCCCATGGGGATGAACCAGCAGGAGAGCATCATGGGCACGAGGCGGGCCTCGGCGGGGGGGTGGCCGTTGTGTTTCGCGACGAGGGTGAGGTAGTGCTTGTTGACCCAGGGGGAGCAGGCAGCGGAGAGGAGGACGCCGACGGCGAGGGGGATGAACATCAGCCCGGTGGAGGAGGCGGAGTAGCCCTTGCGCTTCTGGTAGATGATGGGGAAGGCGACGAAGAACATGTAGAGCAGGCCGTAGAGGACGGACATGTAGATTGAGATGAGGAAGACGATGAGCTCGCGGAAGAGGAGCTGGAAGGGGCGGATGAGGAAGATGCCGAGGCGCTCGGAGAGGGGCCGCATGTCGATGTCCTGCTCGGTGACGTGGGAGGGGTCGGCGGTGGACTTGCGGAGCTTGGCGGCGCGGCGGGCGAGGATGGTGGGCGCGTAGGTTTCCGGGACGGTGAAGGTGATGAGGACCCAGACGACGAAGGCGAGGATGAGCTGGATCCAGTAGAGCCAGCGCCAGCCTGCTGCGTCGGAGAGGAAGCCGCCTACGAGGGGACCAACTGGGGTTTGTTAGTGGGAGAGTGGAAGAGGGGAGGGAGGATGGGGGGCTTACTGGCTGGGCCGATGAAGGGGGCGGCGGAGAAGGCTGCCATGGGGACGCCGCGCTCCTCGTTCCTCCAGAGGTCTGCGAGGGTGCCGCCGACGAGCGTCATGGGCGCGGAGAAGGCGATGCCGTCGATGGCGCGGCAGACGATGAGGGTGCCGAGGTTCTTGGCCACCGCACAGGGGATAATGAAGATCACAGCGATGAGCAGCGTCGAGCCGTAGATGACCTGGCGGCCGTAGATTTCCGAGAGCGGCGCGAAGGCCATGGGGCCGACACCAAAACCAATAACGAACACGGTGATGCTGACGAGGGCGGCCTCCTCGGAGACGTGGAACTCCTCCGCGACGCCGGCGATGTCGGCCGTGATGACGGACGAGCAGAAGGCGACGACGAAGCACGTCAGTGCGACGACCATGGTGCAGTACCACTTGTACGCCTTGGACCAGTTCTTGGGGTTCTCCTTGTCGCCGGGCGTGAAGGTGACGAGCTTGTAGTTGCTCGCGGGCCCGCCGGAGGCGTCGCCGGCGGCGGGGGGCCCGGGGATCTGGCCGTCATTTGTCTCGACGCGGTACTCGTCCAGGTTGGCATTTGGCGAGAGGGTGCGGTAGGGCAGGTTGACGTCGAGGGCCGGGTCGATGGTCTCTTTCGTCTGCACCGGGTGGAGGATGTTGGAGGCGATGGAGGCGCGGCGATTGGTGTTGCTCGCGTTTGAAGGCGTGCGCTTGTGGGTGTTTGTGTTGTTGGTGATGGAGGCGTACTGCGGGCCTTCCGAGGAGGAAGAGCCCGGCGGTAGGGTGTTTGACGATGTTCGTGATGTGTTCTCCATCTTGGAGGCTTAAGTGATAAACGATGTATTCAGAACTAGTAAACAAAAAGAAGTCCCGTGTGGGAAGAGTCACGAAAAGAGGAACAGTAGTGAAAGACGATTGCAGGGTGATGGCCCAGACTGTTACTTAAGCTCAAGGAGCAAAGACTTCTTCTCTTCCACTTCCACGGGGGGCACACCATGTATTTATATCCTCGCCCACTAGGACGAAAAGTCGAGTCACGAAGGGATACTTATCTCCTGGTATTGCTCCTGGCGACAGGGCCTGGGATCCGGTCGCAATTCGGTCTATGGGTGGGCATCGGCGCGGCATTCGGGGTACCCACCAGCTGGGCGGGGCCCGCTTTTCCCGTCCGATGGTGCAATCTCTTTGGCAGACACAAGTCTTTGGTGTGCCTGTTCCCAGGTTTCTTGGAGGCGTGTGTTTACTTTGCCTGACGCCTCCTGATGAGAAAAATGAATAGGCATCCCTGTATGGGCCTGGAAGCAGTTGTGTGATGGCCCGTGAACCGTTCATGTGGGATTTGGATACGTACACACGTCAGGTTTTGACGATGGTGATTCCCCACTGATGTCAACCTTGTCACATTGCCGCCGTCTGCTTGGATCGCTGCGAGAACGGAGGTTGAGCAGTGCAGCCTGTGGTCGTCCAACGGGAGAGGTGGATGCAGCAGCATCTCGTCACTGGCAATTGGCAGAGTGTGAGAGGTCGAGATAGACGGTCGTGGGTGCGATTGTCATCTCTGCAGCTGCAGGTGCAGGAATCTTGTGTCAGCCGCGGGCAGGGGAGAGGGGTGCGGAAAGGGAGAAAAGGGGACGGAATTGCAAAGGACGCCTGCAACAACGAATACGTACCGGAAAACGTGTCGGGCACGTTTGACACGAACCTCCGTCCTTGCTTTTCTTTCCTTCGGATGCGACGCAGACGAGGCTATTCCGAGGTTGGCAAAGGGCGAGTTTCCTCTTTGGCCCGTTTCTGAAAAGCTTCGTTTTTTCGAGTCGCTAGAGCTCAGTCCAATCGCGTCGTTTCCCACGGCCGATGCAATGCGTGCGCATGGATCTAGACAACTTTGATCTTTGTGTGGCCATTGGCAGGCTGCCCGACTTGTCCCGTTTTACGCGACCGTCTTGGCGCGTTCTTTTTCGTGAGTCTTGCGGCTCTGTCCGGTATTTGTGGTAGAGTCTAGGCAATCCAGGTCGAGGGACGGGTCTGGGAATAAGAGGGAATGACTCTGGACGGGCCTAGCGCCGTGGCGCCGTGCTTGGTTGGACGGGGGTCCCGGGTGATTGGGGGCATGTTCCCTCTCAGGGCTGAGCAGGGGGAGAAATCTCGGGATGAGTTCGGGTTGTCGTCATGATTTTTTAACCATTTGCTGAGTTTTTCCTTGCGACGATTCCCCATTTCTCTCGAACATTTACTCGAGCCAAGTGATCAACATGGAGTGTCTCCTGTTTTCTCCCTTCTCGAAGCCGCTGGCTGATCTTCCGTCCGAACTTGAGAAGTCTATTCCGGTTCACGTTTGGGGACGAAGAAGCTGGCTGGGATGCCGCTGTCATCCTCGGTTGGCCGTTTGGCAGAGCAAAGAGCAGCCCCCTTTCGTCCGGGACGCACAGATCGCAGGAGCCGGTAAAGATGGGATCCACTTGAGAGCGGAGACCCGGGTACGGAGGGGTCCACCCCGGCCGCCACAGAGATTTCGTTTCCCTGCTTCTTTGCACACAAACTTTTCGTCGTCTCGTGGCATCTTCCGTCTCCTAGGGCGACGCCATTTCGCGGGCGTTGGTCATCTTTGATTATTCCCATGCCAAGGACGATTGACGCCAAACGCTAGCGGGCAATGTGGACAAGAGTGTCGAGGATTGTGAGCGGACGGTGCACGAAGATTCGGTAAGTGGAGACGGAGCAAAAAGGTTTTTTGATTGCATCGCGGTTTGTGATTATTCCCGGCGGAGCCAAGTGGGGATCTGACTGAGTCCGGCTACCGTTATCAGCGAGCCTGGAGCTCGGTGTTTGGCTGCTGAGCGTGTTGGGCGTGTGTGCTGCTAAGGACCTTGCAGCACGAAACATTGGTACGGCACGCCCACTGCATATCCCTTCTCTCACGAGATAACCAAGAGGTTAATAAGAGGGGATTGAACTAATCAGGGGATTTGGTTTTGGAACAGGACCGATATCGCTTGAGGCCGCCTGCAGACTGTCAGTTGCCTGGATAAGATCGTGTGTGGATAAAGGGACTATCGCGTCCTTCAAGGGGCTCGATGACAGAGCATCTTACGATAACAGGGGTCAAGAACGCACTCTGAGAGATGAGCCAAGATGGCGGGAGTTTGTCGGGATGGTAATAAGCGGAGGGGGGAGTGCATCCAGCGGGAGAGACGAAGCAGGTGAAGGGCTTGCGTGTGGATAGCGTGGGATGGCGAGCGTTGGTGCTTCCAAACTCGGAGGTTTACGCGGGCTTGGGTTCTCGTGGTTGATGCCCAATACCCAGACCGTTGTCGCGGATATCGATGATCCAAGGGTTTGGTGGTCATGGGTGCTTTCGATTCGGAAGGCTGTTGACTATCGCTGCCCTGCTGCAGGCAGCGGGTGTTGGTGGAGCGAGCGCCGTGTCTAAAAGTCGGAGCTCGCGACTTGCGGTACCCGCGTCTCCGCGCCTCGTGGTCGGCGGTGGTGGTGCCGTTGCGGTGCCGCTAGCACGCTGAGATCTAAAAGAGTTTATCTTGCTAACCACGCCCAGGCGGGATGACGAGGGATTGCTCTTGGCTCTATCACCTTTTGAGAATGTCAGCCAGTCACGTTCGACCTTTGCGCCAACGCCAAGCAGTATCGAGGAGAGGGAGGCGGCTTACCGCATGCCAGATCAACCGGGGTGCCTTCGACGAGCCGACAATCGCCTGAATCGTTCACCTTGATCGCCTCGGACCGGCCGGACCGCTGGCACACCACCGATGGCGAGGACAGGGCCGCGCATGGACAGTTGAGACGGCGCGGCTCGCCATGAAGTCTTTACCGACATCGAAGTACCGCGGCGCGATACCGCACGTGTGCTTTTGATGGTCGCGGTGAGGTTCCAATTTGGGGTAGCCTGCGAGTTAACCTGTACACTGGAGACTGCCGGACCGGACCCATAACGGATAGAAGGGCGTTCTCTGCCTGCGATCTTTGACCACTTTCGCTGTAAAGCTCAAGTGGTGGAAGTAGATTGAAGCGCGTCGACGTCGATGGTTGTGTTAGGGTTGTTGAGGGGAAAGTCCAACGCCGCTTTCCCGTCTGGGAATGTTCGCGAAGTTCTGTCAGCAAATGGCAGGAGCGGAGCCCCGACGTGCCTTCCCCCATCGTCATCCGCACCGAAACGGAAGGCTCGCGACCACCAAAAACAGTCCGCGACCGATCACTTTGAACTAAAGAAGGAATTAATGTCTGCTGGAATCTTGTTGGACATGGAGAACCGCATGTCACGGCAAACCTCTTCAACTTCGGCCGAAAGGTCCACCTTTTCGGCGTGAGAAGTCCAGAGTCGGGGTACCTCCGCCCGGGTCCTTGCGGACATCTTGCACTCCCGTTCCTGCATTATTATTGACTGCACAAATCCCACAGCGCGGTAGATCTTTGAAAAATGTGTCATGTCTGCAGCTCAAGAACTTGTGACGTTGTGATGCTCCGATTAGCCTAACAAGCAGCATCGACAAAGTCACTCATGGAGTACTTGAGACCAGCTTGGTCGCCCAACTTGTCAATTCTCGGTTATGCTAGTTGAGAACAGGGGCGGTGATGGCAGGAAGTAAAATGATTCCTCGAGACCTCCGGCCCGACGCACCCCACGCGCCCGTCACCGCACCAGCTGCTCCACAGCCGTGGTGACCGTCGTTATCGTCGTCATCGCTGTCGGCGTCTTCATCTTCCTCGTCGTCCGCGAACGGGTTCTTGAGTCTTCACCCCTCATCATACAGCTACAAAGTAAAATCCCCAGCCAGCTTTCATTTCTCAAGTTGGCATCCTATGCAGCCACCACGCACAGCAAACCTGAAGCGAGAATGTTTAGGTGTAAGTTTGCAATTTTGAACCTGACTGAAGAACCATCTTAAATCTAGCTTAACCACGCATTACCAACCGCAGACGTGTCTGATTTCAAGTGTCAGCTGTCATTCAGCATCTCAGGCACAACTAATGTATCCATACGTTGCGCTCTTATTACAAGCTTCTCAACGACTAAGCGTGCATCCAAAGTCCTTGTTGCAGGTGTTTAGACACTTCTTGAAGTTGGCATCGCTTCCTTTACTGCGAAAGCAATCGTCGCGGCAGGAGATGCACTGCAAGATATCTCATTAGTCATAGTAATCATCGTGAAAACAGTGAGATGTGTTACGTACCACAGTGTTCTGCTGACGCTCGACAACGGCAGGGGTTGCAACGACGATTCCTGCGAAGAGGACCACTAGCAAGGTAGAGAACTGCATTTTGTGATATTGCCATAGCGTCGGTCAACGACGGCTACTGTAGCCCGGTATAAGTGAGTAATAGATGAAAGGGAGGGATGGTTTGATAGAGTGGGTGACAAGACGTGTTAGAGGACGATTGAAGTTTCGAGAGGATGAAGCGCAAGTGAATCCTTTTAAGTACTCAATTCAAGGTGAAAGGTCCATTAGCAATCACTTATTGTCGGAGTTTGGCTGTCAAGAAGTGGCCGGATATCCTGCATCAGCGGGCGCGCCGCCTCAGGCCGGTAGGATCTCAAACAGCCAAGACATGACATGGGAATTTGAATCTGACTCATGGAAGAAACTCGCTTTCACATTCTAGCGCTCAAGACTGTTGAGACGAACCCTTTCGTCGGCTGTCCTTGATGGACCGGCCCTCTGGGATACTGATTGGATCATTACACAGTAAGTGGCGGTATCGATCAACAGTCTTTCGTCGGATTGGAAAATCACAGATTGATCGCTAGTAACCTTTGCAGACAGACTGCCGCAGCCCGGGCAGATAAATGAATGCTGTACAT